GGGCCGGGACCTTCCAGACCCTGGTGATGCTGGAGACAGTTCCCCGGAGCGGGGAGGTCTACACCTGCCAAGTGCGGCACCCCAGCAGCACCAGCCCTGTCACCATGGAATGGAGTGAGACGCCCTCTGACCTCACAAGCCTCCCCCCACAAGGGCCTTTGCTTGTCCCTGAGGGTCCGGGTCCCGTCTCCCCACACCCCGTTTTCCTTTGCTCGTGTCTCTCCTTCAGCACAGGCCACAGGGTAGCCCTGAGATCGCTTCTGTGGGCACCCACACCCCTGGGAGGCCGCCGTGCCTGCCCTGCTCTGAATTCCCCACTCTTCTTCTCTCAGGGGCCCAGTCTGGATCCGCACAGAGCAAGGTGCTGAGTGGAGCCGGGGGCTTCTTGCTGGGGCTGCTCTTCCTCGGGGCAGGGTTGCTCATCTACTTCAGGGCTCAGAAAGGTGAGGACCCTGCTGGCAGCCAAGGCCCTGAGATGGTGGGGAGAACTGGGGCTTTGCTGGGTGAGCTCTGTGTATGGAAACGGTGTAGAAGCCTCTTTTCCTGTCGGTCTCACATGTCCTGGAAATGCAAAAATAACCAGCTCCCGTTTACTTAGGGTGGAGACATGAGGAGTCATGCCTGTGGGGTTAGGGAGGGGTTAACACGCATCAAGATTTGGGTGCAGATCCTGGGGTAGACGGAGCAGCAGGCTCTGAGTCACTAACATGACACTGGATTCTGACGTTTTCAGGGTCACTGCTTACAGCAGGGGTCCTCAAACTTTTTAAACAGGGGTCCAGTTCCCTGTCCCTCAGACATTCCACACATGCGCACTGCGGGCCCGGGACAAGTCGGCTGCTAAGCAGGTCAGGCATCGGCGGCAAAAACACCCGGCAGGCCAGATAAATGTTTTCGGCAGTCTGCATGTGGCCCGCGGGCCATAGTTTGAGGACCTCTGGTTTACAGCTTCTGCCCTGGTCTCTGCTCTGGTGTCAGCGGGTGGGGGTGCTGCTGGAGAAGCTCAGGTGGCCTGGGCGGGGACCCTGTGTTTGAGGACACACTTACCTTCCTATCTTTAAGTGGCATCTTCCTTCTCTTCCCAGGACACTCTGCACTTCAGCCCACAGGTAACCCTCTTGAGAGCTTATTTGGAGGTTCTAGCAGGGGTGCGCAGCTACTCGTATACCCTTGACCAAAGACCGGTCCACTCCTTGGGGAGGAAGGTCGTCCTCTTTGACCGAGCGCGCCGCTTCGGGAGGGACACACATGGATCGGTGAGGGAGGAGGGGGACACCCACCTAGCCAGCCAGATCAGCCAAATCAACCCTGGTGATCAATGGGGTGACAGATGTCACAGCCAGATCGCCCTCACATCCAGGTAACGCTCTTTAATC